CACACACACACACACACACACACACACACTAATTTATGGATCCACACAAGAATAAGAAAACTGAATCTAAAGCTATTCTAAATCTAAATGTATAATCTAAAGCACATTTAATCTAACCAGCATGCTTCCATAAAAATTATTCAGAAAATGGACAGTCCTAAAAGCCCATTATGATGGCATCAGGCAATTTTAAGCACTAATATAAAACTGTGTATTGTGGGAGAGACTAAATTAGAGGGTGGACGGACCTGCATCTCAGCCAATCAGTGTCGGGTGGGCGGGGCAGAGAGGAGAGCCCTGAGTGTGAGCGAGGGGATGCTGTGGTAACTCTGATACAATGTTTCAAAGAGCACAAAAACAAACACAGTCGATCAGAGAGATCATAGCAGAGGCAAACACAACATAGTTGAAATGAAATATTCATAATAATAATGTAAAAACACAAAGGAAAGATAAGGACAAGGGAAAGAAAACAGTCGGATGCAAAAACGATGCCAGTAAGGGCACGCGTCAGCCTGCAGGCAGTGGAGCACAGCCCAGAAAAGGAAACACAGACAGTCAATCATGAGTCATAACATGAGTAATATTCGTCTTCTCGGTAATAAATCTCAGGCCATGTTTCCGCTCTGATGTCTGATTGGTAGAAGGCATGTGAATCTTGGAAGATTAACAATTCCAGTGTGTAATTGATGGTCCATGGCACGGAGATGGACAGTGTACGATTGTGAAACCCTTATAATGAGGTCTATAATAACAATTCTCGGTTCATACTTCAGCTTCAATGACATTTAACTCACACGACTGAAAACTTGTCAAAATCAATGGATATAAAATGAGAAATTCGCTCAGCCTGAGTGCTATCGATCAGACGCATGAAGCTGACGTGTTATGTCAGATTTCCTTTGCCGGCTCCTTTGTGACTGCCCCTCAAATAAACATTTCACACACAGAAACATGGCACACATGGATTTAAACAGCTTTGTATCAAGATGCACAGCAACACCTAAAAATCAAGAGAAGCTGGAGAAATGATTAAGCGACACATGGCAAATCACCAATGGAAATGTAAAAAAAATGCAATGAGTGAGCAGAAATGTCATCTTGCTTTTGACGGGACCAATAACCAGTACTTTGCGATCTCTTCCCCTCTCTTCTGATGAAAAATGTAGGTTCTTTCTACTTTTAAGCACAAACCTTGCTAATTTTGATTGCCAATTTATCTGTAAAACTCAAGGTATAGAAGGACTCAAGGAATAGTTTCTGAAAACAATCATATTAGTTTCCCGTTTTAAGGATGTTTAAGGTCATTTTAATATGATTATTTTAAGAAAGAATTTGTTTGTAGTGTTTCTAATTCATTCATGACAATACATGTTCTTCTGGAGAGGGGAGAGATGTTATGAAAGGTCTGGCCAATGAATCTCTTTCTCAGAGCTGGTTAGAGGTCAGCCAATGAGATGAATGAGTGCTGTGAGGCATACCCGGCCCTCTCCTTGAGTTTCATATCAGTTATGCCATCTTTAGACACCAGTTTGTTAAAAACCAGAATCCCGATAACCATGTTAACCTGGTAAAGAGAGAGGAGAAAGGTGATCACATGTGCATATTAAGATCCAGCCCAGACTCACAATAGAGAAATGGTCCTATAGTCTCCAATGTGATGTATATTTCTATAAAGGCCCATTTAACTTGTGGTTTTGTTCCATTTTAAAATGTTGTAACAGTACTGTCAATAAAAATATCAGAATATGTTGTTACTCAAGCTACTTCCGCACTAGGACTGTGATAATACCAATATTTCAGGAGTCAATTTCCAAAAGTTATGATTTTGAATACCAATTTTTGACACTACAGCAAATACTAATACTAAATGTACACTTGGAATTTTTAATTGCAATATGAATATACAATTTAAAAAATTTACAGAATCTTCTGAACAATTAAAAAAAACTAGCTACTTAGAGATGTTTTGATTGAACAGAGAAAAATTGCATTAGAATGACATTTCTTATGAGACTGTATATAAAATTCACCATTATATTGTCTGACAAAATGAAACCTGTTATTGAATACAATAGATATCACTGCAATCCATGTTAATATAGTCTAAGCCCAGATCTCGTTTAATTAATCTGCAGCGGTGTAATGACTATTATGTCCACACTTGGCACGCTTAGCATACGCTGTGTTTAAACAGATCTACTGAAACACGTGTTTGCTGGATATTATGTTGTGGAGTTATGAGGGTGAAATCTGGAACTGTCTGCATTCTCATTCATAAGAGCTTGTGGTGGTTTATTTATTGTAAAATTCTATGGTTGGGTGCAGTGATGCTAGCAACATTAAACATTGAGTCTGGAAATGAGGGACAGAAAATTTCTGTGAATAAATCAAACACAGAGAGAAATTGTACCAAGACGACAGCAGCAGCTGGTCCCACAAATGCGTACAACAATCCGCCTTCCAGAGACAGCCAGCAACTAACACAAAACACAAAGAAAGAGGGAGTGAGAGCGAGAGAGACAGAAGAAAGAAAAAAGAGAAAGAGACCAGAGGGAAAGAAAAATCAGTGATGAGGTTGTCAGATAATGTGGCTGTCATTAATTGTTTTTAACATTTTAAAAGTGTCCACTTGAAGAATGTAATGCAGAGACTGACCGTCTTTTTGAATGTTACATCGTGTACTAAGACCGACGGAAAATGAAAAGTTGCGATTTTCTAGGCCGATATGGCTAGGAACTATACTCTCATTCCGCCCACTAAATAATGTTGTTTCACTAAATGTTTAGTTTAGTTGAATGCTTTTATAAAATTATTGCGCACCCATGATTTTTCTAGAATAACGTTTGCTGCTGAATTATCCACTAACCCAGTTTATAATAGGGGTGGGAATCGCAGGGTACCTCACCATACGATATGAATCACGATACATGGCTCACGATACGATAATATCACGATACATCAATTCTGCGATAATCGATATATTGCTAGACAATTCTATAATGATACATCACGATATCTGTCTAACTATGAAAACAAAATGCCTGTGAAAAGATTAAAGTGATAGTTCACCTTCAGTTGCTGGTCCCTATTGACTTCCATGTGTGTAAACCAACACATTTAACTGCTTTATATATGCTATTATATATGCTTTATAACAACTTTATATATAAACCTGGTACATTTAAAAATTTACCTGGAGTGCTTTCTCAAGCTTTCCTCTCCTCTCATCATAAAAAAGGGAGCCCCGCACACATGACATGCAGGGGAAAAAAGCCATTCACATCACGTCTTTTGCACGCTCAGGTACGTTATTTCAAATGTAGACGCGCGGCAAGCACTAGGGCTGTTCGATTCCGATTCCTGGTTCTGGAGTTGATGGGAATCAACCCCTGAATTGTTTTTTTTAACTGGTTCATTAAAACTATCTATCCAAATCAGGAAACTAATCAGACTTCTAATCACTTTTAGCGAGCATGAGGGAGGCGAATGGTAATAAAAATGAAAATAATCTTTTATCTCACAACTCTTGTAATTACGGCTTTTAGCGAGCATGAGGGAGGTGAATGGTGCTTCTCAAACGGAAGGCTGCATCCTAAAATTCAGATGATCAGTACCGACTCGTTTTCTTTCAGTTTATTTTCGTGAATTTAAATGTGTGCAGCCTTCGTAGGATGCAGCCTTCCATTTGAGAGACACCCATAGATAAGCTTTGTTGAACTGAAAAAGGCTCTGAATGAGGAGTCGATTCCCCTTGATGGAATCGACTCTCGATTCCCAATGCCTCGGAATCGATTATTTTTGGAATCGATTCCCAGCCCTAGCAAGCACACACACTGCATACTTCTGTGCTGCATTACGGCTCTGACGAGGTTTTGTTTCGTCGTCCATGCCATAGGTGCAGATTTATGTTTCTGCCGGTCGGTGACCACTGCCCACACTGCATAACGCGCACTTGTAATATCTGAGAGAGAGGGAGAGCATCCAGTTTTGTTGACATAAAACTGGATGCGCCAGCGCCGGGAGAGGTTAGGCTACTCACAGACTCAATATGCATTCTGCAATGATAACGTGATCGATGCCTACAGTACAGTCCACGCTGATAGCTGTTCCGGGGCAGTTTTTTAGTTCTCATCTTCATAAACATATACAGTATCTCACAGAAGTGAGTACACCCCTCACATTTTTGTAAATATTTTATCAAAAAAAGAAAAAAAAATATATAAAAAAATGTGAGGGGTGTATTTTCTTCTGTGAGATAGTGTGTATATATATATATATATATATATATATATATATATATCAGTAGAGCTAATACAGTGGCTGGAAATCTGTTTATCCTTAGGTTCCTCGTGCTTCCCCATCTTCATAGAGAACACGGTTTACGGTTGCTCAGAGCGCTTTGAAAAGAAGGTGGAAATGGTGCGGCCATGATTTCCACGCATTTTTTAGATGCTGGGAGCAGGGAAATCTATATAGAGCGCCTTATTGTAGTAATATATTGTAGTAAATTGTAGTATTGTATTGTAGTAAAATATTGATATTTGGCACCAGATATCGATTCTCGTATCGCATGGAGAAGGACAACGATATATCGCCATATCGATATATTGTCCCACCCCTAGCACTTTATGCACCAAGAGCTTGTAACACTCCAAAGAGAAAGGAAAAATTTAAATCGCATCATATGACCCCTTTAAAAGTTGTCTATATTTAGCAGATTGTGTTTAACACACACAAGAGTGATGATCATTTCAACCCACAGAAGTATAGAAATTCTACATTGATTTAAACAAAAAAACTGTGCTGGTATCGGATCGTATCGGAATTGGCCGATACTCAGAATTTTTGGTATCGGATCGGTTCTGAAAAAAATGGTATCGTTGCATCCCTAGATCATACTTACTAGTTAACAGTGCCATATCCCTTTGCCTTGGTAAATCCAACAGAAATTGCTACAACGAGAGCAGGTAAACCTATAAAAAGGGAACAGAAATAATTGGAAAGTAGTTGAGTACTTTGATTAAATTCAGTTAAATTTCATCTAAGATTTTAGACTATAACACATAGTGCCACACAATGCTGCTAAAATCAAGTGAAATTTTACATCAACTACCAAGTTGGGTCATTTTTTTCAGAAGAAACAGATTATAAATGAAGATACGAGCCTAGAAGGTACAAGACAAGCCTCACCCCAACCAAGGCAGAGGAAACGTTTGCGTATGATGCGGTTTCTAAGACGGCCAGTCACAGCCATGTAAGACTGCCATGCCTCCGTGAGAACCCAACAGAAAGAGGACAGGAAGAAAAAGTGCAGAAATGCAGCCACAAGAGTACAAACAACCTAAGAGCAAGAAAATAGTAAGAGAGAAAGAAAGAGAGTCCATCCATCAAAGGTAAGGATGGAATGTAAAAAGGAGAAAAGAGGAAGATTAAGAATATTTTGTTGTAGATCAAGGGTTTTATCAATTTATTTGTGTTTGTTTGGTCATACCTTGTTCCGTGTCTGAGTTTGTCCGATAAGTATGAGTGCATTGGAGGAGATGATGGACAGACAAAAGTTGATGAGGATGACAGAGCGTTCTGAGCGGATGTACCTGAAGAAAAACACACAGAAACACTGAGCCAATACATCTGAATGACTTCTATTGCTCGCTATCATTCAGCCACCATGCTTTCAATAGATGGACACATAAATGGAACCTGAACTGATGTATAATTTCTAGTGGCGACCAAGATGTGACACTGACCAAGTGAAAGCATCTGTACAGATCATTGAAGCACAAGATGCAAAGGAGGAAATAGTGAAATAAAAAAAACAAAAGAAAAAGGAAAAATAAATTTTTGCAAACTTTCAATTATTTCAAATATATTTTATATGAAAAAAAAACAGCATTTATCAATGCAATCATAAGTATAAGCAAAGATCCCTATGTACTGTATATACAGACTCAAGGTTGCATTAATTGATCAAAAACAGTAAAAACAGGAATACTGGGTAACATTATTACAATTTAAAATAACTGCTCTCCATTAAAAAAAATATATAAAATGTAATCTATTACTGTGTTGCAAAGCTCAATTTTCAGCAGCCATTATTCCAGGCTTCAGTGTCACGTAATCCTTCAGAAATCATTCTGATATGCTTATTTGGTGCTCAAAAAAATATATTTTTTTATCATTATGTTACAATGTTGAAAACAGTTGTGCTGTTTAACAAAGTAAAAGTTTTTACTGTCATTTTTTGATTAATCAATACATTCTAGCTAAATGAAAGTTCTAAATAAAAAAATTATTTAAAAAAATGACAAAATAATTTAAAAATGTGCACCGACCATGGACAAGGCTGTTGGTAGTTATTGGAACTGACACTAGACTGAATGACCACTTTTGTGAATGAGCCAATTGAGAACAATTATCGGCATTAATTGGCCTAGCTGTTTAGCCTTTCACTAATAACCATGCTGAATAGTAAATAACAACCTGACTTGTTTAGAATTACATCACGTCAAACAATTGATTTGAATCTCAAACTCCAAAGCATCCCAAAGCTTTTTACACAAATACATGTCGCTGTCCATGGTGCTGAAACCCCCATTGCTTCCCATCAAGTAAGTTTCTTTTACTGGTGAACAGCCAGATTTTGTTTCATCAGCGGAAGATCTTGCTTACCTCCAAACAGACACATAGATGATGATGAGGAGGAGCAGGGTGAGGGACGAGACCCCGCAGCCCACGATCAGTGTCACAGATGGAAGCTGGGTCTTATCCATGTTCTGTCAACACAAGAAATAGACTCAGTTAGCGCTCACAGATGCTAACGGTGCAACAGGCTAGCCGCCTGCTGTCCTTCATGCGATTCTGTGCAGAAGAGAGCTGGGGAGAGTGGGCTGCTGTCCGTGTGGCTCCGGCTAAAGAGCAAGGTGAGATGAAGGTCACTCGGCAAAGAGCTGATACTGAGGACTGAGATATCCAGAGGGCACAGCAGAGAGCTATAGTATAACAACCTATGACTGCTTCTAATGACATATAGACCATCGGAAAAGCTAAATGCCTGATGCTGTGAATTACTCATACAGTGATTGTGAACCAAAAGCCTCAAATATAACACATTTGCAGGCTTGCGCAACCATTGTCTTGGTTGCCATGGTGATGTGGTGGAGAAACAGCAGCCACTGCAGTGGTGTACGCAGCATTAACTGTACCATAGGTGTGAGTAGTGCATGCCTGTGTGTTTGTGAATATCTGCATTCCCTGCCTAAGACTTATGCCACTATAATACACTTCTAGAAATCTTATCTGTTAAACATTGTAAATATGGCACAGCAGCGTTAAGGATGTCCATGGGTGTTACATATTCACAGAAGTGTGCACTTCTTACCTTAAGTCGAAAACACACAAACTTACACTTACACACAAAGATAATTGGTTGAGTTTATAGCCTGTCTTGTCTCCAGGTTTAATGTGCGCACAGGGCCAAGTTAATTAAATCCCTCTGATTAATCTGCACTGCAGTGAGGTCCCCACTGACAATCAAGAAAGAAATGCATCCTCTGAGACTAAGTTTGTCTTCTCCTGGCCAATCAAACACTTGACTAAGCCTAAGCTGTGGAAGACAGGTTAGTACTCAGAACAACCACTATCGAACCAAGGGAATTATTTAGTCCATCAGTGCAGACAGTGAGCCATAGCAAGTTGGGAACGGAAACTATCAAACATACGTTGAAACGTTTGATTTATATGTTTGTGTGTGTGTGTGTGTGTGTGTGTGTTTAGGCATCTGATAATATTCAAAATAATATAGCCAATATTCAAAACTATAATTGCTTTATTTCTGAATTTTGATGCAAAAATAACTAAATAATCATTAGACTACAACAATAAAAACTGCAATAAAATATGCATTATTTCCAAAATGTAATTTATGTGAAAATATGAAGTCTGTAAACGCCCGTTAACACAGGCCAGAGACGCTGAAGACGGACGCACAGAGAAATATACTGTAGCAGGCAGATCACTGTACTGTAGCAGATCATGATGCACGAACTATTGGAAGAAAATCCTCAGTACTGATTTATATGAATGTGTTTCTGAGGGGAACTGACTGCCTTCAGAAAAGTTTAGATGGTATTGTCTTTTCATCTCGTCTATGTATAGTTCAAATTAAAGCAGTGTTTCAGCCATAGACTGTGGTAACCAAGGAAACGCAGTATGTGGTGTTCCAGAAGCGCCTCCTGCTGTCAGAGAGTGAATATGCGTCTCATTCAGAGCTTCTGCTGTTTGCTTCGTTTAGGCATGTAGTATAATTTCACAAAGCTAGTCAGAACATTCTGTTTTTGCTTCAAATTATGTAAAGGAAATTATATAACTAAATTATATGAAATTATATAAATTATATGTATGGCCCATGCCTTATATATATATATATATTAGAGGTTGACCGATAGTGGATTTTACCGATAGCTAGGTTGGTCCACACTAGCCGATATTGATTAATCAACCTATAGTTTTTAAAATGGATACTGAAACTAAAATAGTGCTTTACTATTTAAAAAAAATAACCATAATTTTTAAATGAATCAAATATTCATATTAATTATTAAATTGATCATTAACGTTCATAGTTTATTAACTAATGTTAACAGAAGAAACAAAATTTAAAAAATGTAATATTAGCCTAAATGTTGAAATGAACAAACTCTAACTAGGAACAATACTTATACAGCTTTCATTAATATTAATGTTACAATGTTACTTATTGTAAAGTGTTACCATTTCATATCAACAGTCATGCTTAAAGATGGCCATCTTTAATTATCTACACAAAGGCCACAGCACTGAAATTCAGTAGCCCCTCACTGCAGAACACAAGATCCAGGGGGCGTAGTTGGATTCACATCTAGGGGGTGGAGATTGGTAGGTTTAGGGATCAAGGGGTGGAGACGGGTAGGTTTAGGTATATGTAAGGTGGGAGGATCTTGGATCTTGTGTTCTGCAGTGAGGACCATCTCCTGAAATTACATACATATGGATATTGTATGTATACTCTCACTCTTTATTTGCTTCTATTTTAGAACACTTGATTATCTAATCAAAATAACAAAATACGCGTCGCGTTCACTTCAAGCGGCGGTCTAAAACAGTTTATTTAATCGCCAAATAGACAAAAGTTCACTTCAAAAATGAACAATGCGGCATAGATGAGTTTGCAGTTTGGTGTTTAAAAAAACAGAGCCAACAGAAAGAGAAACCGTGATGTACATAGGCCTATAGCTCAATAAATGAACCATACTTTATTAGAGCCACAGAAAGACAAACGTTTTGCTGAAAAATGCACAATACACAATGTTACAGCCTAGGGTGAAGTTATTATGCACATTAATAACTATTTGGGACAAATATAATGTAATTTAATGGAAAACTATGTGAATGGCGCTCTGTTCCGCTGCAGGATTTTCTGTCAGCTGTATTTAAACAGCGTTTGAAGTTTCCCGCACTGTGCAACGCGCAGCCTCACGTGCCAAAACAATCAACACGTGCTGTCAGTGATTTCCGCCTGTAGAGGCCGCTCTCGCACTGTATAATGGCAGCGGACCATTCTCAGCCACTCCAGCAACAGATGCAATGGGAAAAAAAACGGAAACCGGAAAAACTATCGGCATGGATTTTTGCTGATAGTTCCAGCAATCAACTATCGGTGCCGATTAATAGGCAAAACCGATACATCGATCGACCTCGATATATATATATATATATATATATATATATTAGGGTTGTGACAGTGAGGAAATTTTCCCACCGGTTAATCGACGTGTGACAACACCGGTAATACCGGTATCACCGCGGGGCGTTAAATAGCTTAAAAGCGCCATGCGCATTTTACTTTCACTTTTTAATTAGCGGCAGTTCCGCGTCAATTGCTTGAATGCAACAACAGAATACAACGTCAAACTTACTTTAGCGTATATATAAAACATAGAACTTTTATTAACAAAACAAATAAAAATACACCATGCTATAGGGCAGGCGCCTAATATATATATATATATGGCTCTGCAATAATCAATTAATCAAGCGTAGCATTAGTTCTGCCAGGTCATGTCAGTCAAGCTCGCGTCAGCTGATCCACATCTACCTATAGGAATACGACGCCTATCTCAGCATTCATACATAAGGTTCTTCAGTATTATCAGCAGCTTTCGCATTGCTCAATAGCTAATTGCCCCCTCCATCCCCAGCTCCTCCTCTCATCCAGTCATGGTTCAGCCTTATGATTCTCCTTTAAATCAGATGAATTTCTAAAATGTTACTGAATATTAATGGTATCTGCAATACATTTATGTTGGTTCTCTTCTGTTTACCCTAGGGGGTTATCACTGCTCTCTTGCCCAGAACAGAACCATACCGTCATTCTAAACTATATGTTAATTGTCAATCATCTTTAACTATAGTGGTCCTGACAGAAATGAGTAAATAAATATAACTAAGCCACAATGTACTTGAAAATGCATGGTTATTTAAAAAGCTATAAGCTAAACAATACATTCAATAAGTACTAAGGACATTGGTCTATTAATATTTTAAAACTTGCCAAACTGTAGAAATTAAGTAGGACTGCACAAACATAAATAATAGACTTGCAAAGGCAATCCTGAATCTTTTACAAGTGACAAGCAAAAAGACGATTGCCTACCTCTGAAGAATGTACTAACATGAAACATCTCAACACAGTGTGCGGTTTCATTTTCTCGCCATCTTCACTGACCCATATTTGGGAATGATGTATTCAGAGCTTCATCCAAGTACAACTGCAGCATAACTGTGCATTTCTACAAGCTTTAGCTCATAAATATTCAGTCTGGGCAAAACCACAGCAATTTTCTCATATCAAACTGCTTATAAAGCGTAAGACAATCTGACCCATGTAAACCAGAGCCTGGTTCAAAGCTGGAAACATTTGTAGAAATACTGGAGTGCGATTAAAATAGCTGCAGTGTACTATCTCCCTTTATTTCTTGTTTCTCTTTCCATGTGCTCTTCAGCTGACTGTATATTCAAACTCAGAATGTGGGAGGGAAAGAGAGGAAGGGAAGTGTTTCTCTGGCTCTTTATCATTCTGAAGCTGTAGGATGCTAGTTGCCAGCGGAGTGGCCGTTGGATGGGCCATTTTGAGGTGGCAAGTGGAGCTGCAGGAATAATTAGCGACATAGCAGTGGGGGTCTGGAGCGAGAAGGCTAGAGAAAGAGAGAGACAGACAGGGAGTGGAGCCAAGGGGAGGAGCGGTCCACCCTTCTGCTGGCACACGGCTACTCAAATGAAATCCCCACAATATGCTTTCCATGAGGCATGGAACGAGCTAACTGCGACACTCCCTTATTCCGCGTCCATCTGACCAGGTAGAGCGGGACAGGCAGCCATCATAAGGCGAGCGATTAGCATACAGCTATAGCTCTCTGGATCACCATGAGGAGACATGCAGATGCAGCTCATGCGGTCTTTACACACACATCCATGAAAGCATATAGCAGCACATATGCACACAGGAGGAAAACTCTGAAACACAGATAAAAATGTGTAAAATTTAAACTGGCTATCCTAAAAACATTGCTTGAATGTACTGTAACATCAGCCTTTATCAGCATGAAATAAATATAACCCTATTTACTTTAATGCACTTTCCTGGTTTTATTGTGAACGAACAATCAGTGCACTTCATTCCAAATAAAAATAATTTGTCTTTTGAATTTTTAATCAAAATGTAGCTCTTCTGAAATGACTTTCCTTTTCTGCTGACATAACTTAGGTCGAGAGAACAATTCAATAATGTTAAACAATAGCCAAGTAGATATTTCGGTGGAATTTAAGCAAAGTATGGCTCGCAAAGCCCACATTTCAAATCCAGCTGATTCAAAGAGTGAAGTAGCAGCACCCTACATTTTTTCCTTGAATATCCAGTTTAACTTGGAATTTCACATTAACAATAACATTTACAATGGAAAACTATGGATGTCAACGGGGTCCATCAATTGTTCGGTCACCCAAATTCTTCAAAACATCTTTTGTATTCAGCAGAAGAAAAAAAATCAAAAATAAAAAAAAGAGTCAATTTTGGGGTGAACTATACCTTCAATCAAGTAAAATTTGTTGCAAAAGGCAATTTACACTTGTTGTGGTTTTCCAAATTTCATATTTCCATTTTCCAATCCAACTGAATCCCAGAGTAAAGCAGGATTTTTTTTTGCATTGCATTTAAACAAACCACATTAACCCAGTAAAATGTGCTACAAAAAGCAATTCATGTTTGTTGTACACTTTTTTGTATTCCATATTTGCAGCTTTGTGCACAGCAGCCTGTATGTAATGATGTGATCCTAACTCTGCTTTGTTATGATGTCACTTTTTCACTTGGTTTCCCAAATCAAAACAGTGTCACAACAGTGACTTCTGTTCCTGATGCAGCCAATCTGAAACATCTTGGCAGAGCAAATGAGAGAAGACATGGCCATTGTTTTGGCCAGTAGGGTGTCAAGCTTCCTCTTCCTCTTTTTTTGGGGGGGGGGGGGGGGTAAGAACTTCCACTGCCCATGCTGTTTCCACGGCAACTGGTGAATAAACTGCTTCAGATGCAGTTTCCAGTCTAATAATAACTAATCACACTGAATGAAAATTCCACACAAAGACACAGCCCTTTCTTGCATTAAACCAAACCAAATTCCATCATTTTAAATAAAGATGCTATTTTAAAGGAAGACATATAGATTTACACAAAGACAACCCTCTAAGGCCAAAATGCACGGATGGTGTGTCATTAAGATATATGTTTTACACTCATGAAAAGGCCAACAAATCCCCTATGCACATCTGAATGTACCAGGAAAAATGTATCTGAGGTGTCCACACAGCAAAATCCAACAGAATAATATATATATATATATGGGAATTTGTATGTTGGTGTGTTTTAAACAAAATGCATTTCTTTACAAATAATAGATATTGCAATGTAGGCAGTTAAGACAGCTATTTTTAACTATTATATTATTAATCACATGCATTTTCTCTGTACAAACATTTAATGTATGCAAATCCAAAATGAAAGCTAGCATGTTTCATGCACTGCATTCTAGCATTAAACAAAGCTAGCAAAACGTTCCTTTTTGTCACAAATATGTGTATCTATATACTCAGAACACATCAAAGAATAAAACATGTCTTAAATTGTTTGCATTACATCTGCTGCATGGCTCTGGTATGCCGTGGAGAGGAGGAGAGGGGGGAGTGAGAGAGAGGGATCTGTTGATACACAATGACAATGACGCCTATGACCAAAAAGAAAAAAAGAAAAAAAAAGCGGAACATTAAATCACACAATGTCACACAAACGCGTCTTTTGACGTTCTTCGGCGTTAAAGGAAACAATAGAAATAGCTCGACTTACCACATCGGGATTGAGGCGTGCTAAAATGGCGAAGGTGGAGAGTCTGTCACACAAGCATTTGGTTGTGCTGGAGTCGACGGGCACGGCTCTACAGCCTCGCGCAGACCAGGAGCCCAGCAACGACGAGCTGCGGAGCGGAGACAGACAAGAGCGCGGAATGAGATCAAATCCCTGCGCGATAAAACAGCTATTTCGCTAATCCAGCGCACACTGAGCCCGCCGTATGAGAGCCGGAGCGCGAGAAAAGACAGATGAATGGACGATGTGATGCAGCGCACACCTCTGCTTTCTGCATGGCCAGGTTAGCTGATGTAAAAACAGTTACAAAAATGTACAAAATAATCATGTCCTGAAATAAAATAAAGTAAAACTTACTGTTTAAGTTAAAAATTGTTTATAATAAATGTATTTTATTTATTAAATTATTATTATTATTAAATAAATATGCAGCCACACACACAGAGTGCTGCAAATTCTAACCCTGGGTAAATATATATAATCCTGGGTTATCGTTCCTGTTTCACACTGGCCACATTTGATCCTGGGTTAGTAATCAATTTTGGGTAGCCATGCAGGTTTCGATTTTCACATGGGTAGGCTACATTTGTAAATCCTTAATTTAAACCCAGCATATGTATGAAACTAAAAACATTCAATGACAGGATGCGACTAGCACGCGCAAATTAAAGATGTCGGCAAATAAATTCGGTGGTTGTTTTAAGTCTACTGAAGCGTAGAAAAGCACAAACAAAATGACACAGTTTATTAACTGCCGATTATACATTATCATTACAGCTCAACGCCATTTTCAACGTTCAAAGCTGAAAAAAAACAAAAAACAAAACCCTGCCAAAGTTTCTTCGCACTGTAGAAAGGGCATGAATAATTAATGAGGGAAGCGCTGACTCAGTATATGATTGGTCTGTTGATGAACAACACAAACCTAGCACCGCCACCTTTTTCACATCTCCGGGGCTGAGTTCCAGTTCATTTTTTATGCCCTTCACTCGCAAACTTTCCTCCGTCTTGTTTACTCGGATGTACGTCATTGATTACGTTGCATGAGTATTAAAAAATAACAATATAAAAAAACTTGAGGATTTACAATGCTGATGACAGTTGAAACGCGTCATCACAGTCTTGTGAAAAGGGTCCATTGTTGACACGGAGTTCGGTGCTTTATTTTATAATAATAATGTTGGATAATTTTATAACGTTGAAGAATGTATTATGATTATTATTATTATTATTGTTATTGCAGTTGTTGTTGCAGCAGTAGTTTCTTGCATTCCAAAACACACAATAGCACCAAACCACACAGAATCACTTTGAAATTAAAGTTCCCAGAGGGCAGTTAGGGGTAGCCTTTACACATGTGCTTAGCCTGCAGCAAGCCTTCCAAGTCTCTTTTACCTGTCAAAACTTTGTAAGTTTATAAAGTGTGGAGGAAAAGTGCAATGGAGCAGAGGACGGATATTACACTGGGACATTGAGACCTGGAGCACAACATGAAGGGGAAAAAAAGTGTCTTATGTTTTCTATTTACTATCTTGTGAATGTCAGATATGCATGGTCTCAAGTGTTCAGATACAGAATAATGAACAAACTAATCAATTACTGGTATACTTTACAATAAGGTTCCATTTGTTAACATTAGTTAACTAAACTTCATTTATAATTTATTAATCTTAGTTAATCTCAACATTTACAAATACACATTACTAAAATCAAATGTTGTGTTAATATTATTTAATGAACATGAGCTAGCAACACAAACTAACAAAGAACAGTTGTATTTTTATTAACTAACATTATAACAAAGGTTAATAAATACTGTATTGCTCATTGTTAGTTAATGCTAGTATTTCTAATTAACTAATTGGACCTTATTGTAAAGTCTTAACATTTACTCAATGAAGAGTAAATGTTCTGAATTAGTATTGGTTTGACTGTGAAAGAAAACTGTGAATGATATTAAAATATCACAGAATATTATAATATATGGAGAGATTACACACACTAAATCATACACTAAAAATAAATGTCAAAAGCTGACTTTTCATAAGATCCAAAGGAACATTAATCCACATCTTTCTATTTTTTGCAAGAAATTTCTTGTTTTATGCTTCCCATGAAACTTACATGCACCAATGCAGATGACAATAAAAGCATGAATATAATAAATACAAGTGAACCTTGAGGTTGTGGTTTGTGCCGGTGCCCAAAGCCACTCAATAATTAGTCCATTCCGCCACCTACACAAATTTGAATCTCATAATCTTGATGAGAAACCCTCTTGACAGCATGATTCGGCTGTGTCTGATCTAACACACAAATAATTGTAACAAAGACCTCATAATGACATCAATGAAAGTGATATGAAAGTCAAATCAAAACATACCCACTCCATGCACAACTGATCCTAATAGCGAGCCATCAATCATGTAGCATTCTCTTCATGCAGCTGCAACGTGAAGTCAATATATTCACAAACACACACACACACAAACACACACACAAACCCGGGGTTACCGGCACCATTCCAAACCCACTGTGCGGTAGAGCTCTGCAGTCTGGGATACCCATAATGCACTGGGGCTTGAAGAGCGCTGAGGGCCAAACAGTATAGCGCTGGAAGCACAGCGTGTTGCAGCCCCAGGGCAGGGCTCAGTGTTAACATTAGCACATAAACCTGAAACTCAATATATTATCACCCACTGCACAGACACTGCGCATGATACGATTAAGACTTTGTGTCGACCACACAAATATAAAGACAGCGCAGCATGGCTGTGTAATTGGATCATGGGCTTCCAGTCCAGCTGTAGTGTGCATGTTTGCAGAGAACATGCCAAGTGCAGATGCATGAGAAAAGCAAGCTTGAAAAACTATATTATATATATATATATAGTAATTTTAATGGTAAAAGTCTGCAAACATTAAAATTTTAGCATATTTTAGTATTATTTATATACTACTTTTATCCACATTTTGAATTAGCTTTTATTTTTGTACTTTCAGGTTTAATTCGAATTTTTGTTCGATTTTTAGTAATTTTGTTATGTGCTTTTGTAATTTTTATTCGTTTTTGGCTTTTTAATATTGCTATTTAGGTTTAATTTATTTTTATTTCAATTTTAGTTTTTATTTTATTTAATGAAATATTGATTAAATATAATATGAAATATTGTCTTAGCAAGTTACTAAAAATATTTCATCTAATGTTTGTATTATTTCATTTCAGCTTTATTTCAGTTGAGGTGGGGGAGGGGGTGTCCAATGCTGTTTCATGCATGTTGAGTTATTTACACTGTTAAAGAGTTGGATTCTCATACTAAACATGGGCAAAATTTCAAAAAACGAGTTGGACATATGATGGAGTATTTCTATGCCAAATACACTCCTTCAAGGTTTGTATAAGTTTCAGGTGGAACTCCTTATATGGGCATTTCTCCCGGAAGAACGCGCCCATGCACACATTGACCAGAGCGAGAGCAAGAGCACGCCCATCAACGCGCTTCATTCAGCTGCACTGCACGGGACTTGCTCTGGAAGATGTCTCTAAAGAAGTGTGTTTTTGGTTGTAAGGGAAAGTTAACCTTGTTCAGCTTCCTGAAGAACCCAGCGTTACGTAAACAGTGGATGCATTTTGATTTTCTGTGGCAGAAACGGAGTTTTGCAAGTGTGTTTGTTGACGAACGTTTTATAAACAAGGCCCAGTTCGATGCTGGATTTGCACATCGTTTGATACTGAAAGATGGAGCGGTCCCAGCTAGAAAAGATCCCGGTCATTATTCAGAACTGCAGATGGTAAGTGAAACGGCATCAAATAATAATAATAATAATTCATTACATTTATATAGCGCTTTTCTGAGCACTCAAAGCGCTTTACATTGTCAGGGGGATCTCCTCGTCCACCACCAGTGTGCAGCATCCACCTGGATGATTGTCTGTGTTTTGTTGGCAATCGGTGCTCAAGTGCTCGTCACTCTTTAGCTCCGCCAACGGCACGCCTGCAGGAGCTCGGCTGTTTCCGGAGAGAATCGTAAAGCTGTATCTTTCTTTTATAAATATGATAAAACTAAAAACTTTTTGGAGATATGAAGGATGCAGTACTACTCTATAGGTACTCAAGATGAGATTGGGTGAAACTGTGTGTTATGCCCCCTTTAACAAGAATATTTTAACAGTTTTAGTTTTAATTACCAATAATAACCTGTTAATTGGTTAAAGGTAAGTTCCCTAACTATATGTTGAAAAACTGTAATAAATATAATAGGACATTTCATGTATTTACAGTAAAATACTGTTAAATGAAGTTTATGGAAGTGAAAAAGAACAAGTAATCTATTAATTTTCAGGGCAAAATGTAAATTAACGTTCCTAGAATTCCATGTGTGATTTTGTTTTTTTACTGTAAATTTGTTTAATCCATAAAACCTAAAATGTTGCTACTGTATTTTTATGGTAAATTCTGGCAACCACAGCTGCTGATTTTTTTATTGAAAAATTTTTTTACGCAGTAAATGCATGCAAAATGCCTCAAGTAAATCCATGAATGAGACAGATCATGTAAGAACCAGCAAAAAAATAAATAAAAAATCGCTACCGTGTGATTGAAGTGCGAGTCAACAGAAAGCCCACACTCTTTAAAGCTGTTAACTAAAAGACAGTCAGTGACAAGGACGCCTCCTCACATTCCAATTTCTCTCCCAAATATGAACTTATTAATCATAGCAGCTGTCCAAGATGGATTTTAATTTCGCACTGAACACACACCAGCCCCGGCTCCCCTTCGCTCAATGCGGGCAGATTACATTTCACTGTTCTCTTCCTGTCTCTCAGCCTCTCTCTTCCGCTCCCTTTATCTCACTCCTTCCTCTCTGTCACCATTCTCCTTGTCTTTTCTTTTCTTCTCATTTCTCTGCATTATTGTGTTTTATTCTTGTGTTATAAGTGGTGCTTGGTGTACTATTACTTTTCTAAGAAATCGTATGTATAATATTTTTTTGTCCAAAAAGATTGTTCATAGTCTTATTTACTGTATATACCACTTATAAGGACAAAAATAATATACAAATTTTTAATGTTTTTGAGGCTGATAGTCTTATTTAGCTACTGTATATACTACTTATAATTACTAAAATAATATACACATTTTTTATGTTTTTGAGGCTGTTAATCTTATTTAGCTCCTGTATATACTACTTATAAAGACTAAAATAATATACACATTTTTAATGTTTTTGAGGCTGATAGTCTTATTTAGCTACTGTATATACTACTTATAATTACTAAAATAATATACACATTTTTAATGTTTTTGAGGCTGCATTTATTTGATCAAAAATACAGTAAAACTATAAAATTGTCAAATATTGTTACAATTTAAAATAACGTTTTTTATTTAAATAAAGTATAAAATGTAATTTATTCCTGTGATGCAAAGCTGAATTTTTTAAACAGCCATTACTCTAGGCTTCATTGTCACATGGTCCTTCAGAAATCATTGTAATATGCTGATTTGGTGTTCAATAAATCTAATTATTCTTCTAATTATGTTAAAAATGGTTGTGCTGCTTAATATTTTTGTTATTGTTTTTCCCCCCTCCAGGATTCTTTGACAAATATAACGTTCAAAAGAATAACATTATTTATTCAAAATAGATAAAAAAAACAAAAAAACAATTTAAGTTGTTACTGTCACTTTTGATCAATTTAATACATCCTTGCTAAATAAAAGTATTAATTTATCTTAAGAAAAGTGAGTAGTGACTCCAAACATTTGAACTTTTCACCAGTAAGAAACCACACATGACACTCCAGCAACGCACTAAAAACCACATGAAGCACTTTAGCACTGGCAAAGCAATGCCCTGATAACCAATAACAACACCAGTGAGTTTTGCACTTTTTTTCATATTTTTTTAACAGGATTTTAAAATTCTATTGTTCTCAGTCTGTTCTCCCTTGAGGCAATGGCAGAAAACTTTATATCTTTAACATATCTATATGTAACCATCTAAATGCAAATGTTCCACCCACACTGCATTAAGCGCTATGGGCACAAACTAGTCTTTTGCTGTTTTAAAAGACAAAAGAGAGCGCAAACAGATGGATGTGTAGGGGGTGAAAGTACAAGCATGACCAGGAGGCCCACGGTTCTTTGTTAAAGTACAACATAATGCTGGTGCTCGTCTGTCTGATCGTCTGTCTGCCTCTTTCAACAGAATCTGGCTTCAGAGACGCAGTCTCAATTTGCTTGCTCTCTTTGCAGAGGAAAAAGAAGAAATAAGATTCTGTTCATGTTTGCTAATGAAACCGAACTTATTCTCATGGTAATACATAATGATTGTCCTATTTCAGCTCTTCAGTGTGTATTTTGAATGTGACCATAATAATTCAGATGTAAATTCCGCAGCTGAAGCACTTAGAGTGACGCTGTCAGGATTTACCTGTTATGTTTCTCGGCACTAGTAAAAATGTACCAATCACGTCTGTGCCAAGCATTCATTCATTTAGATGATTGAGATGATTATTGAGATGACAGGATGGATTTCCATTTGAATGTCAGGTGCCAATCCTATACTCATAGATTTAAACCTTCATACTTTATAGTGCATAAAACGTCCTGCGATCTGAATGCAGCTCATAGGAGGACTGTCTTTTTTTTATGATAAATAGAAACATATAAAGGAAACGTAATTAAATCTACAGCTGTGTAACTGTTATTTCTCTAACACACTCAAAAAATACATACTAAATACATACTAAAAATAATGATGTAACTAGAATACTAAAATGCTAATAAAATACTAAAAACACTTTACAATAAGGTTCAATTTATATTAATGTTAATCTCTACATATACTAATACACTTTTCACATGTAAAGTTCTAGAAATGGGCATACACCAGTGTTTAACATTTGGGTTCAGATAAGATTTTTAAGTTCTCATATGTTAAATGTCCTTATTTATTTATTTAGTTGTTTGTTCAAAAATACAGTATAAAACAATAATTGTGAAATATTATTACAGTACAATTTAAAATAACTTTTTATTTTTTTAAATATATTTTACATAATAAATATATTTGAAAGATTCCAGTGATGGCAAACAACACAATATTTATAAATCAGCACTACCCTAGATTAATAAATGCTGCAAAAAAAAAAAAATGTTGTTCACAATAGGTTCATGAATCATGATACCTTGGATTATCAAATCAAACCTTTTTTTAAAGTGCTACCAAGACAATACAAAACTGAAAGTTTTCATATAGCAGTATGATTTATTTACCATCATCTTTCTACCATAATTTTTTTAAACAATATTTTTGTTATATCATTCTAAAAATAAAATGTCTACAGCCACCAAAGTACCTCGTGTTAACATGCTAAAACACTTATACAACTTTATCCTTGCAACATATTTCAGTTCTTCTACAGAGATTGCATGTCTGCAGCCAGAGCCTTCTTGTCTTTTCCCCTCTCTCTGCTCTTTCTAACCATTTTCTCTTGTAGCCTGCTTTGTGTGTCTCATCTCTGCTTTAATTGGAAGTGTGTTTTCAGTGATGTGTATACAGTACAGAAGGAATGTGGCATGCAAAAATCATCCAGTGTCAAAGTGGAGTCAGTGCTGGGTCAAGTGAAGATCAAGGCAGCTATCTGCAGGATTCAACATCTCCTGTCACTGAGGTTGCATCAGTGTAACATACATTTAATATACTACAGCATGTTGTCTCTAACCCTTTATCAACACACCTCTCTTTAAGCCTTGGAAAATACACCCTACTGTGTGACTGAAGATTTCCTGCAAAACTCAACAGACAGCAAAAACAGATTTAAATTAATAAACGGCTTCTCACCTGTCATTCTCATCCCAGGAAATGCAGGTTTGGTTTGTGGTACCCTGTGGAGAGAGTAAGAGTGCGAGAGGCAGAGAAGGATGTCACCTTGTGATTTTGCCTTGCAAATATGTATTGGTGATTCTTCAATTAGGGGTACCTTTGACTACCTGAAATCTTAAAATATGAAACTTCTTCAAAACATTTTTTTATTTAAAGCAGTTTTTTTCATGTCCTGGAATAAAGTTATGATCATAGCCATCGGCGTTTAAGTGTACTTTTTTCAAGTAGTTTTTGATGCTGTGTGTGGTAGTAATGATAACTGTTGTATGTTAATCTTTATTTTTTTTTCCAAAAATGTGAAATCTTGGACTTGCTAACAGTCAATTAAGTTGGGAAAAAAGGTAAGCAGGACAGGAATAACAGCAATATTGAGGACACTAAAAATAAATTAAAAGATGTACATATAAACACAAACTTAACTGAAAAGAATTAATGGAATAATAATAATAATAATAATAAATTTAAAAATAGAAATTAATAGAAATGATAGAAAACAACAATTAAAATAATTAAAATATTTATTTCCAAAAATAGTGAAATTCTGGAAAATGGCTAAACACTTGTACAACTAGAAAGAAAGTAATTATTAAAATAAAATTAAAATAAATTAAAAGTAATTAATTACAATTAAAAATCATCCTACAGTATGTGAGAGAAAAAGTCCCATGCTTGAAGAATTCTTCTAAATGAATCAAATTAAAAATGAATTAATGTTAATGTGTCAGAATGACATCGTTTGAATAATATTGGAACAAGGCTGTACACATATCGCGTTTGATGCAACATATGGGTTTAAAGGGCAGACTGACTTACATTGTAAAGGTGTGAGAACTCAATCTCTAGTGGAGTTGAGAGGGAGCTGGGAGTGGGTTTGATTGTCACAGATATCACCCTGGAGTTCAGCACTGTGCTATTTCTGTGAAAATATAGAGAGAGATGAGAGAAAACATGAGGACTGCAAAAAACAGAAGGGGGAAGAAGAGAGGAGGTCACGATCTTCAAAGAAGCTCCCATGTTCCCATGTGACAAATATAGTATGAGACACTTCACTTTGTGCTGTGGTAAATGTGCATGTCATTTGCTCATAGAGTACAGGTGCATCTCAATAAATTAGAATGTTGTGGAAAAGTTCATTTATTTCAGTAATTCAACTCAAACTGTGAAACTCGTGTATTAAATAAATTCAATGCACACAGACTGAAGTAGTTTAAGTCTTTGGTTCTTTTAATTGTGATGATTTTGGCTGATGCACCTGTATATTCTTTTTTGACACTTTTTGTGTCACCAGATATCTGTTTCAAAATCACCACATTCCAAGAAAAAGAGAAAAATAAGAAAGACAGAAAACAGATAGAACAAAAATTACCAACCTTTCTGTTGAACCCTAAAGACGTTTCAATACATTTAGACATCTTTCAACTATTCAGAAAGGCTATAAAACTATTACAAGGCAAGTGTATTTTTTTATGTCTTTGTTTTTATGTAATTCTTTCTGATATTGCAGAGTGTCCTTTTAAAAGTCCCTTTAAAGGAACAGTTCACCCAAAAATGAAAATGTCATTTACTCACTGTCATGTCATTCCAAACCTTTATGACTTTCTTTCTTCTATATGGGCATAAAAGACATTTTGAGAAATATATATATATTTTTTTTCTCTCTGTTCATCAGTCAGTGTTAACTGGTTAGGCATACACATATAGCTCTGAAAATGTTTGCCAAGATAAATAAAATATAAAATCTGACAATAATGGTATGAAATCTATCACTACTTTAGCTCAAATAATGCTAAACCTTGAAAAAGTGTAGCAGGTTGGTCTTTCTTTAAAACCAAGAAAACAGCAACAGAGAGAGAAACCAATTGAAATGCACAAAGTCTCAACATAAAATGAAAGCAAAGTCCCACCTCTGTAGAGAGAGAATACTGCCCAAGTTTCTGTACAGTACGATACCAGTCACAAATGCTGAGGCGTCATCTTCATCTATAACACAAACACACACACACACACACACATACTTTATAACAGATATACAGTATCACCTCAGTTCCTGTTAAATAAAAAGGCATAAAGCAAAGCGATGAGGAAAAGAAATGCTATAAGAGGTCATTGAGATACAGACTTGATTGGTGTGTAATCAAACCCTTTATTTAGAGCCCTGTAATGTAACTGGAGGTGAGGTTGCTCTCTCTCTTCCTGTTTCTCGCTATTTTACCCGGCAGCTTCTCACCTATGAGTTGGGCAACATGACTAATCACTTAACATATGCTTGCACAGACCTTCATTACACACACAAATACACAGCGTGTTCCAAGAGTTATCCTTTTTTAATGAACACACACAGGTTTCCATGTTTTATGGGGACATTTCATAGGGGTATTGATTTTTATACTGTACAAACTGTATATTCTTTCCCCTTACCGAACCCCCTAAACCTACCCGTCACACAAAACTTTCTGCTATTTTAGATGTTCAAAAAACTGAATTCTGTATGATTTATAAGCTTGTTTCCTCATGGGGACCAAAAATGTCCCCACAAAATCAAAATTTACTGGTATTACTATCCTTGAAGGAACATTTCATTTGGTACTCATAATGTAGGGAACACCAGGTGTATATATATATACACACACACACACACTAGTGTTCAAGAGTTTGAGGTCAGAATGATTTTTTTAAGAAATTAATATTTTTATTCAGCAAGAATGTACTTTCTATTCATTAAAGAATCCTGGAGAAAATAAATGCATCATGGTTTACACAAAAATATTAAAATAATTCCTTTATACAACAAGAATGCATTAAATTGTTTAAAAGTTACAGTAAAGACATTTGTTTTTCATGGTTTCCACAAAATACTAAGCAGTACAACTGTTTGCAATATTGATAAAAATAAGAAAATATTATCTGAGCAGCAAATCAGCATATTAGAATGATTTCTGAAGGATCATGTGCCACTAGAGTAATGGCTGCTGAAAATTCAGCTTTGCCATCACAGGAATAACTTGCATTTTAAAATATATTCAAATAGAAAACAGCAAATTGTAATAATATTTACCAAAATTACTGTTTTACTGTATTTTTGACCAACCAAATGCAGCTTTGGTGAGCATACAAGAGACTTCTTTCAAAAACATTAAAATAATCTTACTGACCCAAACTTTTGAACGGTAATGCATATATACTGTGTGTATATATATATATATATATATATA